CTCATCCGCGATGCTGTACTGTGTATTTGATTAGTGTTATTGCGTAATTTACGGTTTAGTTTTTTCTACATCGTATTGATGTTTTATTATTTTATTTTGGTCTGATTTTAAAAATTAAAATCTAACAAGTCCCACGCAAAATTTGGATAAAATTATGGAGTGAGCAAAAAGGATAACACAGTACATTGATCTCATCTGATCGCAAATAAGGAGATTAAAAGATGAATAAAAAAAGTATTCACAGCCTTTTTTGGCAGAGTTAGATGGTAAGGTAGTTGAAGTACTCAAGTGTCGGCTAAGCTTAAGTGTCAATGCTAATAGGATTAGAGGATAGAGCAATCTACTAGCAATGCATTCTGATGGATGATAATTAAATTTGCCATAGACATATTCATTCGACAATATAAATAATGATACCGCATTATCATTAAAACCATAAAAATTAACAGTTCGTTTAAAAGAAAAAAAACTTCATTCCAACATTTGTCATTTAGAATTTGATAGTTATTTTGATGTTCTGTGCAGATGGAAAAGATAAATTGAACAAAAAGCTGGCGCAAAAAAGCATTAAATATGCAAGGGCAAACTCTTAAGTTGACAAAATGTTGAGAGAAAAAAAGAATAAATTACTTGTTTTTTTTAAAACAATGAGTGAATATATGAATTATGAAGTTATTTCTGGCCAAATGTTTTCGGCCAGATTTCTTTGCTATATGATACTGTCGAGTACAAAATCGAAATTCCATTCACGACTCTCATTAACTGTATTTGACAACTAGCCTACTTGCGCTATCACCTCAGACGTTCATTAGCATATATACTCACACCCTATTTTTGTAGCTTCGTTAAATCCTTTCATCTTCTAACTTCACAAAATTTTTGGGAGAAAACTCTCGAAATTAATCTCTAAATAAATATGCAAATAAAATAATGCTCGTCGGCGCTCATGAAAATTTTCTTAATGAATCATCGCTCGTGATAAATGAATCGTTACAATGTTTCTGATAAGCAACACTTTCTCATTATAAAAACTATTGTGTATCTGATAGTTATTTTAAATATTTCCTTCTTTCTTCGAACAGCCTAATCTAACCATTCCAATCAAATGATTAATCTTGTATTGCTTATAAATTCTTTACATCATCGTAATCTTGATCTCCAATAAAATTGTAACCTAACGCACCCCAATATCTCAGCCTTTAAAGGCACGCTTTGTTCCTACTATTCTGCTCCGTAAATTTTATGGTACTAAATATTCTGCTATATTATTTACTGTATTATTCTTTGTTGATATAAAGAATCCTTAAAATTCCTTTGGTTTATAACGTTGAAAGGAAACCTCTTTCATAAGATAACAATCTTCACCAAAAGAACCTCGATTGTGTCCAATTTATAGCTCTCCCGATTCAAACTAATTTTCAACTATTCGCAACAGATACCAAACCATAATTAAATTTAAAAAATGCTTTATTCTTGTAAGATTTATCAATAAATCATTAAAAAATTCTGTGCACATGAAGCATTCTTTTTTCCTACAAACTTCCTTTTCATTTTTTCATACTTATCATTAAGAACTAGAGTTAAGAAAATATATCATTCGAAAATTCAAAATTTTCTTTGTAATTTGAAAGTTCTTAAATACCATTTTTTACATTTATCGAATGGTATTTGGCTATTTAATCTTTTTTTATTCAAATTCTGCCTAATATTTTCTGATCATCCAGTCTGATTTAAACGATTGTACCCGGTGGGACGGTGGGAGACTCTTTTCCATTCCTGAAAATTTTTTTTCAGTTTCATTCCTGAAACTGAAAAATTTTCTGTAACCGAAACCAAAATATTTCATCTTCAATTTCGAATTTATTTCCTTAAAAACCGATACATCCGGCAAAGAAGATGGTAAGAGACATTTCACGCATCACATGTGAAGCATTAATAAATTAAAATCATTGGATATTAATACTTGGGAATTTGAATGGTAAAGAAAAGAAAAGCAAAAATACTAAAATAATGATTAGCAAAAAATTGAAAAATGTGTTGTAGGCTCTCATAAGTATCCAAAATAAGTTAAATTTCTCCAACCGGTCAATTTTATTTGCAGAAAATTTTTGGGATTATTACTTGCTAACATATTTCTTCTTGTATCTTACCTTCTTTGTGTTTTTATCAAAAATCAAGAGACATATAATAAGTTGAGCGATAAATGAAAAAGGATAGGGAAATGTGACGGCGGTAGAAAGAAAAGAAGGTCGAAGATTAGTTAGAAAAAGATGAATAAAACTGGAATAGTTAAATAAATACTAAATAGTTAAATAAATACTAAATAGCTAAATAAATGGTCATAGTCGTTTAAATTTCGTTCTCAGTCTGGAAGAGTTATTAATAAATGACAGATATGGATAGCAAAGTGGAAAAGTTATTCTTCTTAACGAACGATACTTTGCATTTATTTTTAGGAGCTGAATGATAAATCCACATGTATCCCAATGAATGCTTTCGACAAGAAAGATTAATAATTTTAGCATTTATGGTTAATTCAATTTAATAAAATCAAATTCTATTTTATTTTAATTCAGACATATTTAAAATTCATTTTTCTTTCTTGATAATTGTACAATGAGTATAAAACTATCTACAAAAGTTTGATGAACTTAGAATTAAGCAGCATGGTTTACAGCTTGGACTAAGATAATTTTTAACTTATAGAAATAGTCTTTTATTTGACTAACGCTTTAACTAAACTTTTTCAAGATTGAAAATACGAATTAAATCATTTGTGATTGCAAGATCTGAAACCTTTTATTTGGAATTTGCTCTGTCAAAAAATTTGAGGAATCGTAATTGTTCCTTGTTTCCTTTTTCTTCTAAAATCTCAATGAAAAAAAATTAATGGCTGAAAAAGATGACAGAAGTTACTTTTGCAAACATAATCCGAAAAGGATATAAATTCAAACTGAAACTTTTTATTGTTAAGCAGAAAATGATATTTTTGGTGTTTACGTGAAAAATTAATGACATACACATTGCCGAAATTCATACTGGAAATAAGGAAATTTCCTGGATAAAAATAAAGAACTTTTTATTGCCGAAGAAATAATTTGAGATTTCTAAAATCCAAGCCAATAAAACTTGGCAAAGTTAATTTTGTATTTTTTTTACTTAAAAGTTTTGAAATTCCAAACTTCTTTGAAAAAGTATGCAGAAAAAGACATATAAGTAAGTAATTATATAAAAAAACGGTTCGCTTCATTAATGGTGTTGTCGACATCTAATGGTTACATTCTTTCGGATTATTGATATTTAAAAAAGGAAAGAATTCTTCGGATAAGATGAATTTTTGAAAGTCTGCACTTCCACGGCTTACATCTGCTTTCAATTATTCCCACAGAAACTTAAAAGTTCTTGAAGTTATAACATCTGGTAATACCTTATTATTGATCACATTTTTTTACCTTCAGTTAATCCTACAGCTCTTTTTTCACTCAACAATAAAAATAATATGTCTTTGTGATTGGCAAATTATGATTGGAAGAAGTTAAAATGATGCTCCAAACAACTGTACGCATTAAGAAGTAAATATTTCGATAAATAATTGGTTTCATAGAATGTTCCATGCAAATACATTAAAAAGAATTGAATCTGAATAAAAGTTGTGAAATTTGAAGGAAGCGTTTGTAGAAGAAAGAGAGATACACAAGTTATTTGTTTTCTCGAATCCACTTGTCAGCAAAGGCTCATTGTGATGCGTCGAGGAGAAGCGTGGAGCGGCGTGGAGAAGCGATGATAGGAAAGGTTGTTGTTTCATACTTATTCAAATTTTTAAGAAGTCCTCTTTGATAATTGTGTCAGTCTCTATAGCTTAGAAAATCTAATTTGAAAGTCGTATTGCGAAAGCAATACGACTTTCTAAATTACTGAAATATTCATCGATGAAGTCAACTAAGACCACTCAGACGAAAGATTTTGCTTGAAATTTTGATCCGTTTATTCATTATCGGTACATCTTTATAGTTCCGAAAGTAGTGTAAAATGATTTGTTAACATCGACATAGTGTGTGATTAAGTGGTTTCCTAGTAAAAATAAAATAAAAAAATAAAATAAAATAATATTTGAAATAGCTATAATAAGCTAAAATTAAAGTTTTTGAAAGTTAGATTTAGACGAATACTATTTTGCAGTACTTGGTAAGGTAATCTTTTTAAGTAAGGCCTGACTAAATTGATTACCTTTAACACTGGCTTGAAATACGCCTACCAAAAAAAAAATACGGCGATGAATCCCCAAAATGTGATGCATTCTTTAACTTTCTGCAAAATTTGATAAAAGAAAAAAATGTCTTTGGAGCTTTTAGGGTAAAAATGAAACCAATAAATTTTTGAGTCTTATGATTTTAACAAAGAATACTTCAATAATTTCACTGTTGCATATGAATAATGCCTTGTTCAAATTAGTTTTTTTGGATAAATCGAGCATAATCAGGAACATTACAAACTGTTAATAGCAAAAAAGAATTTATAAAACTAAAAGCATCTAAAATCCTTTCAATTTTGAAAAATATTGTTTAATGAGTGTTTCAAGCAGGATGGTGAAGCCAAAGTTTTGAAGCACTGTGTCGTCAATAAATTGTAGCGAAAAAACTAATCATTTCATTATATCAAATGAATAAGAATTATTCACACCAAAGAAGAGATCAATTGAAAAACGAATTTTAAAAAATGTTTACAAGAACAAGAATGCATAACTAAAACTATTCGCTCTTTTTGTGGATTTTGCAAATTGAGAGAAAAAATGAATTGTAAATGGAAACAAAAATATTTATTTATCCTTCAACTGTATCAAACTCCAATTAATTACATGACAAAGTGTAACAAATTCACGTGATATTTAGTATACCTTGCTTTGGTTATATCAGCAAACATCTTTTTAAGTTAGTAGATATTCATTTCGACAATTATAAACTTGAAAATAAGTGATGATTTTAATTCAATTTCTTTTTGCATAACTTTGGCCTTTTTTCAAGTAATAGCAACTTATCTTCTTTGAAGCATTTTATTTCGGATTTTTTATATCTATTTCGATTAAACTGCTAATATTTGAGAAAGCGATAGAGCAAAATATCGATAGTGCTATCACAATCAGTAGCATCAAATTGGTTACACTTATAAAATAAATATGGTGCGCATTTTTATCCTAATTTTGATTCCCTTTATTTTTTAAGATTTATTTATTTCGATAACGAATTATTTATTTCGGCACTCCTATTTACCGTTTTGTTTTGTTTCTATATTATATTTGAGTAATAATCCAACAATTTTTTGGTTCAATTCTTAATATTTGAATTTATTTGACGTCTTTGGCAAAACAATATTATATGCGTCTTTTTCGAAACGCCTTTTAATTTTGGCACCTGCAAATCACAATATCAAAGTGCACATATGCAGGCATCTTCTTATAGAAATATTGCAAATTCAATTGCAAAGAGAAAGACTTTTTGGAAAGCCAACATTGCAAGTCATAGGTTTTAGGATAATACACTCATATGAGCTAGAATTTTTGCCAGCTCCGCTTGTTATCGCCAAACACTTCCCTAATTAAATATGTTTGAATTTTTCGAAATCTTTTTATTGTCATAACTGTGCAGAATACAGAGCGTAACCAGCGATTGGATGGTTTCAGAAAATATGATTTTGTTGTGGTATTTCAGTCAGATTCAATTCTCAACTAAAATTTAGAATAAAATTTTGTCCAAACCATGGGACTTTATAAACCACCCCGTTCTGTAGAGATTTTATCGCCGGGAGTATCTTTAGAAATTTTGATGTGCCATTACAGTAATCAGTGGATCAACTACATCCTCGAATTTTTTTCAAAATTCCAAAAGAGAAAATCCTTCAAAAAACTTTTCTTTAATTTCAAAATTTTCAAGATTCTATTTTTTTTAATTCAGAAATCCTTGATATGAAGTTTTAAGTGAGCAGAATGGAGAATAAAGAGCTGAAACAAATTTAATTTAATCAGTAATAAAGTTATTTCAAAGATTTCAAAAATAAATTCATTTCATTGGTTCAAATTAAATCATTACATACTAACTTCATATGACCTTCTGAACCTAAAAGTCAGTCTGTAGTTGAATGGAAAGTTAGATCTCGAAATATTACATAACTGTAATGCAGAAAACGCATGCACTGAAAATGAATCTAAAATATTGCAAGTAGGATTAAGGCAAAGATTTTTTGGATTAGGTGAGATATTCTAATATCACTATTATCTTGATCATATAATAAGTGAGAATATAAAATTTGAAAATTTTCTATATGATGACCATTGATCAATGGTATTTATTAGACTCAAAACTGGAACAGTTATTGTCATCGAGGCAGTGCAAAGTTAACAATTTGTAACAGATTTATAATTACATACAAAATTATAATGAATCAAGAAACCAGAATCCTTAGTCAAAATAGAACAGGAAAAGAACTGCCATAATACTTTTCTATTTTTTGGCATATATCAACTTTTCTTTTATAAAAAAAGAATGAAGTTTTTAATTAATTAAAATGCGAAAAAATTCTAAATATCCGAATCTTAAACATATTGTACTTCCTGCAGATTAGCAGCCTATTTTATGAAGCACAGCAATTTCTCTTTTTGTAAATAATAGCGTAATTTTGAATAGTGAGATTTTCAGCGCAAACTAATTATTATAAAAAATGCTTGCTTATAAAACTTGGAAAATACAATATAAATAACATAGTGGTATTGTCATCTAAAAACAAAGTTTGAAATAGTCTTATTCCAAGAAATAGATCTCAGCAATGATAGAAAATGTCAGTGCTACAAGTTAAAGCTAACTCTTGACATGAATTAAATGTGACGCTTCCTTCTGGTAACATAAATCATATCCGTGTGATGCACATTTAAAGAAAACCTCTACTCCCGGATATGATGAATCGCATTTCCAGGATAGAAAATCGCGACAGGATAAAATGCATTCAATTTTGTTCTCAAATACACGTTAATTTTCATTTGGACAATTTGCTACTTCTCTGAGTAGTATTCTTTTATTCGATAGTTGGATGTTTAAACATGATAAAATCATCAACAATGTTATTCAAATCTTTGTCCATGAAGCCTGAAGAACTAAACTTTTGAGAAATATAAATTTTTGCATAAATTTTATATGAGCTAGGAAAATACAACTGCCAAATAAATGAAGCAAAATAGTTTCACATATGGACCCAACCGGCTTATTACAGACGAAAGCAGAATATTGGGAAATACCATATTATACAACCTCAAAGTATAGATGTAAAATTAACATATACGATAAAAAATTAACTGAAGGCTCCGGTGACTGCAAACAATAATGCTGTATAAAACCAATACAATAGTCTGTGGATGGAATCGGTCAATTGAGCAGGCATTAAATAAGCTGATAAAAAAGAATAAGATGTCAGATTTAACATGCTAATTAACTTACACATAATTCAAAAATACTAACAGTTGATGCATATTTAATAAAACATCAATATAGAAACAATGTTTAAGGTTTTGTTGATTAACAGGAAATAAAAGTAAAATCATTAAGGAAAAGAAATAAAAAACGTATATGTCTCAACCACGGGTCAGCATCAAATCAGATTGGAGAAATTATTAAGAAAAAAGATACTGTTTTTGCGTCAAAGGTATATTCAAATCTGTCTGGTCAGTTCGCAATCAGATAATTTTGCATTTTATTGCAGGTTAAATAGCATATTTAATAACGACAAAGATTATACACTCCTGCATTATTTTATTTGTATCATTTAAATACTATTATATTTTTGATCCAGCAATCTGTAAGTCACCTAACAGAATCCACATCTCCACCTCACCTAACCTAACAGAAT